TTCTCCGTCCACGTACCGACACCGGTACTTCTTATGGACCAACAGTGCTCATGTGTCAACTTTGCATCATGGGGGGCTAGTGTAATCAGTACCTAGAAAGCCAGAGCCTGCTACACACTATTGAGATCTAGGAATAATGAGGAGAGCTTTGGGGGGTTTTTGGGAGGGAGGGGGCAGAATTTTATTAGTTCTGTAAAAAAAAAAAAAAGAAATGTTTTCAGTTTAAAGATTGGTAGATGTTTCATCACTTGCCATCATCAATAGCTAGACGACAGCTGCCATACATGGAGGGCTTTGAGAATTTCTAAAACATCAGATCTTCAGGGGATTTTTGAATCCGACCAAGAAGGTACAGTCACTGTTCAGAGGATGTTGGACAATTTGGTCATAGTGCATTGCATGCTCATCTCTAAGGAATCAGGTAACAATGGGTTGTAGAGAATTTCCAACCTCCTTCTGTAGGTCTCACAATGCAATTCTTTGCAACATAACTGCACAGTATACACTTGCAACATTCTGCAGTTTTGTCCCACATATTTTTCCCTCCAGTTAGGTGGAATGGAGGGACAAAGTGGTGTATTTGGGGACAGAACAGAAAACCAATTTTCACCAAAAATACATTTTCCTGTAAGAGCTATGTCACTCTAGCAATCTCTATGGCTGACTACTCACCAGCCACAGGACCACTGCAGAAAGCACGCAACTGCACATATGCTGTTGCTCCCTTGCTGGCCAAAATGCTGCAGAATTTACTTTACTATCATGGGACTGGTGACTGTTCTTCCTGCTCTTTTTGCAATCAAAATGCTGGAGAGTTGCTGCCTGAGCCAGAATTGCTAGTGTAACATGGCCTTAACTGTTGCCAACATAGCAAGCCCCCCCTCCCCAATGCCTATTTATGTAGAGCATGCACCTCAAAATGATGAGCAGTGGCCAATTTGGATTTTCATAAAATGGTTGCCAGAGTCCTTTGCTGAGAACACTTTCTGTCTGCACCCCAACGCTGTTGTGCATATTTTGCTGGAGACCCCCAAAGGCAGCACCAGTGCAAAGTTTTCTAGCATCCAAGGTGAAGATACCATGGTCCCCCCACACAACCACCCCATCTTTAGCTAAACTGAATTACGCTTCTATGTCTGCAAGTACAGTGGCCCAGCCAACCCTTTTTTTTTTTTACAATTGTAGGTTTGCTGTACCTGGTATTATGACCAAAAAAAATACTCGCATTTGCACCAGAGTACCAATTTATGAAGGCTGCAACCTGTTTGTAACCTTTATTTACACATGAGCTGCTGCCAGGGCTCCCACCATCCCAGCTCAACAGGTTACTGCAAGTGCCACACTCATGGTGGAAACTGTGGGGCTCAACTATCACTTAGACAGCTGATCCCACTTTGTGCATTATGACTGTTAACAGTAGCTCCTGATATAAAGTGAAGCCCTTAGCTGTAAACTGACAGCGGCTCTCTTGGTATTCTGTGGGGCTAGGCCGTCATTTTAACAGCCAGAATCTAAGCTGACCATACACTGCTCAGATTTTGCAACAAACTTTTGTATGAAAGAAGGCTCGTTCGACTTTCTATCAATGACCGATTCCAACTCTAGTACCGAAAAATACTCAAAATTGGAGCAGGATGGAATTTGTCTCAAAGGAACGCAATCCTAACAGTGAATGTGATTTTAGTTTGGGGAAACTCCAATCATTCTAAAATCAAATGAAATTGCCAATAACCGTCATGTGTCTGATGGCATGATCAGGTGGTAAGGAAAGATCTTTCGTATAAACGTTAATTTGGAAATCCACTAGTGTATGGCCAGCTTTAGCAGCCCTGAGAAGACAGGCTCTTGTCCCAGCTGCACATGCCGCGTACATAGGAAAGAATGTCTATAGGCGCCGATTAAACATACAAACCGCAGGAAATGCAGAGACTGCCAGCTCTCATTTCAGTAATGCAGGAAAGAAGCAAGCAAAGACGTGTTCTTCCAGATTCCATTAAGAAGGCCTAATATATCAGGAGATCATGTATAGGAGAATATGAAATGTTACCGCAAACAGCCCTTTCCAATAATTTGGTAAGAGTTTGTAAATTCACAGAGAACTTGGTTATTCAAATACAGAGCCAGTTATTTCGATGTATATATTGGAGGTACAATTCAGAAGCAGGGAATATTTACTTTCTAGGAAAGCACAGGAACACACTAAAGTTTGCATAGCTGCTGTAGTTTGTAGACACATTAGCTATCCTGGTTTATAAGTGTTGCTCATCACTCTTTTACCCTCTCCTTGTGCCAAAGCCATAGCAAAAAATAAAACAAAAACCACAAAAGACAGACAGATATACCTTTTTCAAACTTTTTCGCTAACCTCCCTTTATTAAAAAGTTGCACAGTCTGAATAACCCATAAGTGCTAGAAATTACATTCTGCAAAAAGGTTTGTTTTTTTTTTTAATTTCTTACAGTGGTTGAACTCAAGTTTACAGGAAATAACCATTTGCATCACCATGTGCTCTTTATAAATACTGTATGCTGTTCCAGGTTAGAATAAAATTGAAAACAAAAAAAACATTAAACTGTGCATTAACCATGATACGTGTGCGCTAAGGGTATAAACGTGTTTCTCTGTTCCCTTTTCTTAATACCTTCTAAGCATTTGTTTCAAAATTACAGAAGGAAACATTACAAAGTCCTGAAACTAGCATATTATTGCTGGTAGTCCTCTAGTATTTAATGCACATCCCAGTTCACACTTTTAAGATTTATTTTTACAAACTAACAATCATAGATTAAAAATATATATAGAGCTGACCTTTGTAGGTTTCACCAAGACCTTTAACAATGGTATATTAAAAAGGAGAACTACAAATCAAAACATCTCTTAACATGAAGAAATAATTCCCTAGGTTTGTCTTAAAAGGTCAGTTCACTATAAACCGATGTCCTGATGACGAGTGAGCTCAATCACCAACTGACTTGTGACATTATTATTATTTAGAACAGGTATTTATATACACAGCACTTTACATAGTGCATATTCACATCAGTCCCTGCCCTCAAGGAGCTTACAATCTAATATTATAGACTCTAGAAACCTGGACGGAGGATCTGGTTCTGCCACTCCTTACGCTGATGTCTCAGTTCTCCTGTTGCAATCTCTGGAACAAATAAAATGAAGGAAAGCGAGAGAAACCTTTATGGTGGCAATTAGGCAGACCTGGAGACTTGGGTGCAGAGATCTTACAATTAAATATGTAGGACACCAATGGATGGTTCAATCTGCCACTACCTATCCAAAACGGAAACATTTTGTGCTAGACTGACCCTTTTTAGGAGCAGTCCAAGAACATGTGGGCCTCATATAGACAGGCGCAGAGGCCAGTACAGCATGACTAAGGTGTTTGTCTATACAGATGGAAAAAAAAAATGCCTGCGTGCATTCTTGGAAAGCACCTTTTGGGGCTTGTTTCCAGCCCACGCGTCTACCGCAAATGTTCCCTGCCCAAGGCATCACATACATAAAGTCTCCTTGCGTTCAGGGGTGGGAGGGGGCATGGCACTGCCATTCAAGTCAATGGCACCTCCCACCCCAGAACACAAGGAGACAAGGAGACTTTATGTATGTGATCCCTTGCGTTCCAGGCACAGACATTGCGGTAGATGCGCGGGCTGGTGGAAACAAGCCCTTAGAGACATTTTCTTTTTGCACTTCATCATAGTGATCTATAGTTGAGGATGGGAGTAGAAAGTGCTTCTGTTAGAACATGTTATTACTTAGTCAAGGTGGTTTGTTTATATGAAATTAGGATGAAAATTGTTCAAAACCAGACACAAACCATGTGGTTTATTTCATAACATAAAAAAAAAAAGAATAGCTGCATACTGGAGATCAATTGCAGCTTACAGTGGTATCGTTTTATTACACCAAGTGTCATACTTGCTTCACTTTATAAAACAAGGCCTTGGTATAGGTTTTAAAACACTGATTGAAATGTATTTTGTAATACAAAGAAATATTTAAAAAAAAAAATGCTTGGCTTCACAGAATTTCTTATTGAAAGTTCTTTTAAAGCGCAGGCACAGAGGACAGGACACAAAGTTCAGGTCTGCATTTGTGCTGTAGTTTCCCTTCGTATGTAGCAATGAACATTTAAACACGTATTTAAAATGTTTCTAGCATGGAAATATCTAACGAAACTGAAGACCTTAAATTTGGCCCTATTTACAGATTCTTCACAAAAAGTAGCCTTTCTGTATAAAGGGGCTCATTTCAAAAAGATTTCCAATAAAAATCCTGATCTGACTAAGCTCCCCAAGTGTGGGATGGAGGGATCCCCACCACCTACAGCAGTAGCCACTTCAACCCACTGCCTCTATTACTTGACAGCCTGGAGGGGTGATTCTATGAAAAGCCAAGGCTCTCATACAGAATCACCATATTTAAAGAACTCCAAGCAGAAATGTTATACCTCCATGCCCCCCCCCCCCTCCCCAACCCTACACTTCTG